CTGTGGATCAGCTCCTCCGCCCTCCCCCCCTTTCCCTCACCTCCTCTGAATCAGCTCCTCCGCCCTCCCCCCCTTTCCCTCACCTCCTGTGGATCAGCTCCTCCGCCCTCCCCCCCTTTCCCTCACCTCCTGTGGATCAGCTCCTCCGCCCTCCGCCCTCCCCCCTCTCCCCCCCCAAACCTCCTGTGAATCAGCTCCTCCGCCCTCCCCACCCCTCTCCCCCCTCTCCCCCCCTCACCTCCTGTGAAATAGCTCCTCCGCCCTCCCCACCCCTCTCCCCCCTCCACCTCCTGTGGATCAGCTCCTCCGCCCTCCCCACCCCTCTCCCCCCTCCACCTCCTGTGGATCAGCTCCTCCGCACTCCCCCCCTCTCCCTCCCCCTCACCTCCTGTGGATCAGCTCCTCCGCCAGCGCCCGCTTGCCCAGCAGTCGGTAGCAGCTGATGGCGCTGTCCCACAACTCCAGCTGCTCAAACACACGGATGGCGGCACCTGGGGGGGTTAGGAGGTGGGGAGGGGAGGGAGAGGGGGGGTTAGGGGGGGGGAAAAAAGAAATTCCAAAGTAAGGTATGATAATGATACAAGTTAGGGGTTAGGGGTTAGGGGGGGGGAGAGGGGTTGGGTTGTGTGTCAAAGACCCTACCAAACGACCGGTGTATGAAACTAGGTTAAGCTGGGCTTTGGGGGGTGGGAGGAGGGGGGGGGGGGGGAGAGGAAGCTGCTGACCGTGCGGCATGGAGGCTCCAGCATGGGGGCCGTCAAGGGTGAGGGCTGCATCGCCCTTAGCAGCCCTCACCCTTGACGGGTGACCCCTCAGCAGCAGCAGCAGCCGCAGCAGGCACCCTCTGACTCCACCCTCTCTCTCCCCCACCCCCCACTCACCCACAAGCCCCATGGACACGTAGTGCTCCGCCGCCTCCTTGCGTAGCGACACCTGGGGGGTGATGGGGGGGGGAGGGGAGGAAGGTGGGGTGGGGAGGTGGGGAGGTGGCGGACAACGGCACCCACGGTTTACCCTTCAGGCGCAAGGCAAGCAGCCCCAACCAGCCAACCAGCCAGCCAGCTCCCTCCAACCTCTCTCCGCACTCATGCACTGTAGGCATCGCCGCCCGAGCCCGAGCCCTAGCACCCCCTGTCCTCCCCCCAGGATGTCAACACCTCCTCCCCACAGGGCGGTGACACCTCCCTCCTCTTTCACCTCCCTCCTCCCCTCCCTCCCCCCCTCTCTCCCTCCCTCCCTCCCCCCCTCTCTCCCTCCCTCCCTCCCTCCCCCCCTCCCTCCCCCCTCTCACCTGCAACGGGAACCACACCGCCCAGCTGAGCACCGCCCGCTGACCCGCACCCACACACCCCTCCTGCTCCTGCTCTCCTCCTGCTGCTGCCTCCGCTGAGGCAGCGGCGGAGGAGGGCGGTTGCGATGCCTCCGAGGGCGACGGTGTCGGGCCCGGTGGCGGGCAGCCGGTCAGCGCCTCCGCCACCAGGGGAGGTGGCGGGCAGCCGGTCAGCGCCTCCGCCACCAGGGGAGGTGGCGGGCAGCCGGTCAGCGCCTCCGCCACCAGGGGAGGTGGCGGGCAGCCGGTCAGCGCCTCCGCCACCAGGGGAGGTGGCGGGCAGCCGGTCAGCGCCTCCGCCACCAGGGGAGGTGGCGGGCAGCCGGTCAGCGCCTCCGCCACCAGGGGAGGTGGCGGGCAGCCGGTCAGCGCCTCCGCCACCAGGGGAGGTGGCGGGCAGCCGGTCAGCGCCTCCGCCACCAGGGGAGGTGGCGGGCAGCCGGTCAGCGCCTCCGCCACCAGGGGAGGTGGCGGGCAGCCGGTCAGCGCCTCCGCCACCGGGGGAGGTGGCGGGCAGCCGGTCAGCGCCTCCGCCACCAGGGGAGGTGGCGGGCAGCCGGTCAGCGCCTCCGCCACCAGGGGAGGTGGCGGGCAGCCGGTCAGCGCCTCCGCCACCAGGGGAGGTGGCGGGCAGCCGGTCAGCGCCTCCGCCACCGGGGGAGGTGGCGGGCAGCCGGTCAGCGCCTCCGCCAGCGCGTCCATGTGCAGCAGAGACCGCTCACGGGTGCGGGGGCGGGTGCGCTCGTGGCGGGTCTGGGGGGGGAGGGAGGGAGGGGAGGAAGGAGGGATTAAGAAGAGACTGGAAGTTTAATCCCATTTGGCCGGGTTATTATGGGTGCGGGTGCGGGTTTTCCACCCCTTCTGCCACCCACACCCCACTTCCCCTCCCCTGATCTCCCCTTCCCCCCCTTCAACCCCACCTTGAGCAGCCTTGCCGCCGCTGCCGTCATGAAGGCCCCCCGCTGCTGACACAGCACCGCCTCCACCCAGGGAGCCATCTGCCACTCCTGGGGGGGTGGGGAATGAACGAATGGGGGTGAGGAGAATGAGTGCGGGGGCTCCAGCGGCGTTTCAATGGGACTTCCGACAACCACAGTACGTTCCGACTCGCGGCCAATTTTCTCAACCCACCCACCCACCCGCACCCACCCCCACCCGCACCTGCAGGTCGTCCGCGGAGGAGGTCTTCTTGATGGCGGTGGCCCAGGCTAGGAGCAGCGCTTGCTCGGGAGGGGAGTAGCTGAGGAGGAGAGGGAGGGGAGGGGAGAGGAGGAGAGGAGAGGGGAAAGAGCCGTTAATAACCCTCCCCCCATCCCTACCGCTATCACATGAGCTGCTCAGAAAAGAACCTTCTGGCCTGTAACGGTACCCCCCCCCCCCAAAAACGCTAATGGTACGCCCCCCATCTCTCCTCACACCGGGTCTGTGTGTTGTTTCCTCTTTACCCGACCCCCGCCCCCTCCTCCCTACCTGGACTCCAGCGCCTCCCCCGCCTCCCCCGTCAGCACGGGCGCGGGGAACACCTCGCTCTCATCCGCAAGGCCCTCCAGCTCCCGGTTGGCGGGGTGGGGGCGGGGGGTGGAGCGGGGGCCGGAGAAGCCGGGAAGACCTGTGTGTGTTTTGGGGGTTTTGGGGGGAAAATTATAATAGAAATGCATGGTTGGAGGACGGGTGTGCGGGTTGTACGGTCATGCCATTAGTGCTCTCCCCTTCCCTGGGAAGCGGAGCATACCAAACCTGTGACCCTTCCCCCCTCTTACATACAGCTCGCCAGTTTCCTTCATTACACACACACACCTCCCCAACCCGGTCCCCCCCCGCTCACCCATCTCCTCCACCGGCATGCCCGCCCCGGGGCCGCCGGGCGGGGCAGCTCGTTGCCCGGGCTGAGCCACCACCACCAGCTGGGCCTGATGGTGGGAGAGATGGGGGGAGGAGGGGGAGAGTGATGGGGGGGAGGGGTGTTGGAGGGGGGAAGCAAAACCCACACGGCGCGGGGAGGGGGTTGTTGGGGGGAGGGACGCCTTGCGGCCGCCTGCCTGCATTCGCCCCACCCCATCCCCCCGAACCTATGGTTTGGTGTGGTGCTTGACCCCGAAACCACCCACCCACCCACCTTCCCGAAACCCCACACACCCGCTCCATCCACCCACCCCCCACCCACCTTGGGGTCTATCTGATGCACGGTGCGCTTCCCCAGCGCGCCTGCGGAGAGAGAGGGGAGGGGGGGAGGTGTGAGGGAGGGAGGGCGGGAACATCGAGTTTTGAAAACACGGTACATCCCCAGTCAACCGGGGATCGCTTCAACCGGGGACCGCTTCAACCGGGGACCGCTTCAAACGGGGACCGCTTCAAACGGGGACCGCTTTAAACGGGGACCGCTTTAAACGGGGACCGCTTCAAACGGGGACCGCTTCAAAAGCATCTCACACCCCATCTCACCCCATCAGCCCACCCGGCCCCGAATCTCAAGAGCCCCCGTGACTAGCCAACACACCTCGCCAATCACCCTCCTGCTCCCCACCCTGCCCTTACTTCGTTGTTCCCTTCTCCTACCCTCCCTCTTCCTACCCTCCCCCCCCTCCCCCCCCCCTCCCCCCTCCCCCACCTCACCCGTCAGCTGCGGACTCAGCCCCAGCGCCCGCCCCGCCGCCTGCAGGTGCTGCCTGCCGCCCTCCACGTAGCCGTACGCCAGCTGAGCCAGGCACATCTCGATGTGACACACACCCGCCAGAGCTGCCGCTGCCGCTGGGGCTGCCGGGCTTGCTGCTGGGGCTGCTGCATGCCCACCTTCCTGCCCCCCCTGCTTCTCCTGCTTCTCCTGCTCTGCCTGCCCCTGCCATGCAGCAATGAGCTGCTGCATGAGCGCCCGTGCCGCCCCCAGCAGCGACGCCGCCCGCCCCTCCAGACAGTGCTGGTGCGCCAGCACGCAGCGCAGACCCCACCAGCACCAACTGGGGGTGGGCGGGTGGGGCTGCTGTCCCTCCTGCTGTCCCTCCTCCTGTCCCTCCTCCTGTCCCTGCTGCTGAGTGTTTGGCCACCTCCCCCCTGCACCTCCTGCAGCTCCTGCAGGCCCCCCCAGCAGCAGCAGGGTGCGGGCGAGGTGGAGCCACTGCATGGCGGCAACACGACCCACCAGGTCCTCACCTAAGGAGGGGGAGTGGGGATGTGCAGGTGGAGGAGGGGGGGGTGGAAAGCAACTGAAGGTGGAGGGAGACGGTAAGCAAAGAATACCCAATGTGTACGCGCAGGTCCTCTCCCTCGTCGCTAACCCAGTCGTACGTTTCTCATTCCACCGGAAATAACTTGGCATGCATGCATCCGCACACAACCCCCCGCCTCCGTTCCTCTCACCCCCACCCCCAGCTCGCTAGTTGCCTCGTCAGTTTCCTTAACTTTACCCCCACCCCCACCTCCTGCCCGCCCCACTCACCATCCACCTGCAGCTGCGCCTGCGCCCAGCGGTCTCCCCGGCTCATGCAGTCCACACCTAGACCTCCCAGACCATCCGTGGGAGGGGGCGTGGGTGCAGCAGTGGGTGCAGTGTTGCTGCTGTTGCTGGCATCCTGCGCCTGCGGCGCCGGGAGCCCCGAAGCTGCAGGTGCAGCAGCGGTGGTGGTGGCAGCGGCGCCTGTGGTGGTGCCGACGGAGGCGAGGAGGGCTGCTGTGGCTGCGGGGGTGGGTGGCGGCGGGGGCTGCGAGAGGTGCTGGGCGATGTGGGGTGGCGCGAAGAGGTCCAGCGGACTGGGCGGGGGCGCGTCGTAGGAGGGACTGTGGGGGAGGGTGGGAGAGAGGGGGAGAGGAAGGGTTTGGAGGGCGGGATGAGACGGGTGAAGGCTCAGGCGCCCTAAATTGCTATCTCCTATTCCCTAGAACGCTAACAGCAGGGCCACACATGTGGGGGTTAGGGGCTCATTCCACATACTACCGTAAAAGTTCGCCTGGCCACCCATGCGCATCTCGAGTTGCCCTTTCTTAAACCCCAAACCCTACCCCCATCCCACCCCAACCCCAGCCCTACCCAGTCAGATTGTACTGCACGAACACATGCAGACTTGCGACACCCGCCAGCAGCACCGCCCCAGGATCCAGGGAGGGAGGTACGACAGAAGCTGCAGCTCCCTCCTCGGTGCTGATGGCATGAGCAGCAGCAGTCGCAGTGGTAGCTGCTTGCGTTGGTTGTACGACAGAAGGGCTGGATGCGGCTGTTGCAAGGATGGAGGCTGCTCGCTTGGAAACAAGGGAGTAGTAAGACTCTGCATCCTGTACGGCAGCTGCGTCAGATCCGGCGCTGCTGCAGTCCAGAAGGGCTTTTAGAGATGAAACGGTTTGAAGTGCGTCGAGGTAGCGACCGCGGATGATGAGGTTGGTGGCCCGCGAAAGGTCTGAATCTGGACGAAGGCGATAGAATGGTCGAGAAAGTTAAAAGGAACCAAGTACAGCGAGTTAATTACAATAAAAGCAGTTTATATGATGTATTCCATCTTGTTATTATCAATCGCATTCAGAGCTAGCGGTTGGCTTGCACGCTCATCAATCCGCAAGCGGCGAGTAAAGAAGTCATAGATTTCTGGCATGTAACTGACGCACATGCTTACAATGACACAGGCGTTTACATCGTGCATGTTATAGCGACATTGGAATCCCCGCAAACGCCGCCGCTGCAATTGCCGGCATTCTCACCTGTCGGCGCGTCGACCGCTTCACCCAACGGCAAGCCGCAACTATGCCTAAGTAATTGCAGCTCGTATTCGCGCATGTTCTCCATTGTGATCGGGTAGACTTGACGCAAGCTAGTCAAAATAGCAGTTACTTGTCTGGGCTAAGACATCACCAAAAGCAGCTATCGTATATGTAACCTCGCTACATAACCCGGATACGTAAATTGCAGGTTGCAGATATGGAACCAACTCCTATTAGGCAGCTTCTGTACGGCACTCTCAGTCATCGGAACCTGCTGCATGTCCAAGCCAACGCCAAAGCCCCCTGCTTGCCGCCTAAGTGCGCTAGTATTTGGAAACAGACACCGTTTGTTGACCACCGTTTCACTTAACCGCACCGATGCCGGCGCCAAATCCCACAGGCCATTCGAGACGAGCAACAGCCCTTGGAAAAGCCCCTTCGTTCAAAGGAAGAGGAGGCGACTCAACAAGTGTAAACTTCTCCGATCAACACCTCTCCGCACTCCATGCTCACACACCGACTCACACACAAGCATACGTCACCACTCGTTCCAGCGACAGTCGCCAGTGCTTCTGGGCCTAGGTCAACAGCTATGCTCAACCCTGCCGCGGAGTTCCAGACGGCCACTGTACGGCAGCTCGTGGCCACTGTACGGCAGCTCGTGGCGAGGGGGACCCTGCCGTACCTTGCCGCTCCTGCTGCTGCTCCACCTGCTGTACCCCCACCTGAGCTTTGCGTGTTTCTAAAATAGGGTCTCCGAATGCGCTCACTGCATGAGTCGGGATTCGGGATTGGGACTCCGTTGGTGCATTTATCGATACAATTTTACCCCCACCACCTGCTGCTGCTGCCCTGCCCTCCCCTTCCAGCCTGCTGCCCTGCTTGACCCCCCCCATCCCTGCTGCTGCTCGCCCACCTGTCGCTTTGCACCCTACCGGTATTCGCTGATTGCACCCCTGCCTGCCGCTGTAACTGCAGCTGTAGCAGCAGCTGACAGTTCCACCTCCTGCTGCCACCCTGCCCCTGCCCCGCTGCCACCCCCGCTACCGCTGCTGCCCCCGCTGCTACTAATCCCTCCCCCTTGCTAGTGCGGCTGCCCCTGCCCCGCCCCCGCCCCCGCCCCCCCGCTGCCGCCACTCCCCCCCGACAGCGCCCTGCCGGCCTTCTTGAGCGCCGTGATGCGGTGCCACACGTTGTCGCGGTCCGAGGGGGACTCCAGGCCCTAGGGGGGGGGAGGGCAGGAAGGGGGGGATGTATACCGGTAAGGACAAAACGAAAGGTGGAGAGAAAGGGATGTAGCAGCGACCCAGCCAGCCAGCCCCAACTCCTGCCCTCCTTCCCCTAGGCCCTAGCCCCGCACCTCTCTCTACTCCCGCCCCCCCCCCTTCCGCCAGCCGGGCCAGCTACCATGTTTGCACCCCATGTTAAAGCCTCACCACACAGCTCGTCTTTCCCTCTTTTTACCCACCCACAGGTAGCCACTCCCACCACCAGCTTCCCCTCCGACCTCCCTCCCTACCCCCCCACCTCCCTCCCTACCCCCCCACCTCCCTCCCTACCCCCCCACCTCCCTCCCTACCCCCCCACCTCCCTCCCTACCCCCCCACCTCCCTCCCTACCCCCCCACCTCCCTCCCTACCCCCCCACCTCCCTCCCTACCCCCCCCCCCGCTCCCCCCCACCTCCAGCATGTAGCTGAAGCGGTTCTGGTCGATCAGTCGCCCGTGCAGCAGCACCGCCACCTCAACCTGGGGGGGGGGGGGGAGGGGAGATGGAGGGAGAAGAGGGGCGGGGGAAGGGTGGTTTCCTGTTCTGTTCCCCTCTTTCGTCCCCTGCAGCTACCTTGCCAGCCAAGGAGGTAGGGTGCGACGTATGACGGTATTAGGTCCTGGCCCCCCCCCACCTTCCCTTCTTGTTTACCCCCTTCCTCGCTTCCCCCCTGATCCTTTCCCCCTTCTCCACCCCACCCTGTTACCTTGTCGAACGAGGAGGGTATGAGGTCCAGCAGCTGCCGGCCCTGCTCGCTCCAGAAGTACCGCTCGCTGCAGCCGCTGCCGCCCCGCAGCAGCAGCGACTGGGGGGAGCCGCCGGAGCCGCAGCAAACCTGCGCGGAGATAGAGGAGGAGTGCCTTAAGAATTAGGAATTAAACAATAAACAAACAACTTTGCGCTTCACCCCGTTCCTCACACATACCACCATCACCATTCCCACTCTCCTTCCTCCCTCCCTCCCTCCCTCCCTCCCTTCCATTCCCCTACCTTGAACTCATGAAGCAGCTGCAAGAACCGCTCCTCGGGAATAACCAGTCGCTAAAGAGAAGTGGGGTGGGGTGGGGTGGACGAGGGCGGAGATGGGGGGGGAGGGGGTGGGGTTTGGAGAGGGGAAAGGGTGGGGAGACGATAACGGGAGACGAGGAGCACAAGATCAAGCTGACAGGGTCAGCGGACAATTAACAGACAGTATACAATACAGGGGCGAAAGACCGGAGTATCTTTCCTTTGTTTGAGTCGTGCCCGCCCACCCGCCCGCCCACCTTTCGATCCGCGAGGATAGCGTCGATGACGGTCTGAGGGGAGGGGGGTGGAGGGGAGCGAAGGCCCAACACGTTGTGTGTTTCGATCGGTTTTTGACAAAGGGAGGAAAAACAGCTAAACGCACAAGAGCTTGGAATCATAGCCAGCATATACACACATGCGAGTTCAATGGGGTGCGTGGTGTTATGCAGGAGCAAGAGGTGATGAGGCGGTGTGTGTGTGGTGGGCGATTATGTGTGGTAGCAATAGCAGTGGAAGACAAAGCACATAGCAGCAGTCAGCAGAAGAGCGTATATAGTGGAAAGCAAACAGGCGCGCCAGGAAAGACGACTTTGTCTCCAGCGCATATCCAGCCCACACCCAACCCCGATACGTCACGCACCTGTATGTGGCCCATCAGCGCTGGAAGGTCCCGCAGGAAGAGGGTGTACGGCACCACCGTCTTCTTCCTGTGTATGTGCGATAGGTACAGGTACGACAGCAGCAAATGCGTATATATATTACAGATTTTACCGCCTGAGCATGGCAGAATGGCCGAGTGGTCTAAGGCGCTGTGTTTAGGTTTACTAAACCCCGCAGTCCGAAAGGGCGCAGGTTCGAACCCTGCTTCTGTCATAACGTTTTCGAATCTTTTTCTTTCGCCAAAGCAAAAAGCATTTCCTCCTTAGTTTTAAAGAACTTATTTGTGACTCTTATTAGGATACGTTTATACTATGTTTACATATTCACAAATGGTTAGCCACCACCAGCAGAGAATGCACGGCACCCAGGCAACCCAGCGCTTACCCATCATCAAAGAACCGAAAGCTGAAGCGATTCTCAGTGTGCGCCCAGCTGTGTATCTGGCCCCAGGGGAAGGCTAAGAGGCAGTCCTCGGAGGCGGGCCGAAGCAGGCGAAAGCCCAGCGCGCCCACCTCCAGCACCGACACGGTGCTTCGCTGCACGCGGGGATGGTGATGAAAGGGCAGGCCCGCATGGCACATACTCATGAGGTCATGACAGCAGGCGTCGGCTTGCACAGCGGTGGACGCAGCGGTAGAGTGCAATGGATGGGTGCCCTCTGAAGAAAGGTTTGCATGACGGAATGCCGCACAACCGACCGGGTTTACCCTGCACTGCAGCAGATGATGAAAAGCCCTAAAGCCGATCCGCTGACCCTGTTACACACACGCACCGCACATACCTTTTTGATTTCCTCATCGTACGGCAGGCAGTAAAAGCACATAGCTCCATTATCGCGGTAGAAGGGCTGTTCCAATGCTGCCACATCAGCAGGGGTGGGCGTAGGTGGCGGTCGCCGAGTGGTGGAGGCACCGGCACCCATTCTTCCCAAACTGGGGTCAATGTCAGGTGCTGTAAGTGATGTACGGCTGGGATTGGAGAGCCGGTTAACGCTGCTGAGTAGGAGCTATTAGCTAGAGGCTAGGTCGTTGGGGGCTGGTATAGCAGCCCTCTGTTTACTCAGCAGGGAAGGGATGTTGTTGCCACTTGTGGATGGCCAAATGTTGCTCCCCAAGGCTCAAATGGTACACGCGGTAGCTGCACCGCGGCTTGGTAAGAACAGCTGCGTATTGAGGATGGCCTGGGCCAGGTGTTCCTGCATTGCGAGGGCGCGGGAGCAGCGCATGTTAGGCACGCATGCACAAAGAAGGCACCCAGAACCGCCCATACAAGTTGGCTCTTGCTCTCCGGCATTTGCGTGATAAATTAGATGCAGCTCGCTCCTGATTGCTCGTAGGCCTACTTACTGCGCAAGTGCGCATGCAAGTTGACAACACGTCGCTGACAGAGATTTACCCACAAGCCATAAAACCTCATACAGCGCATATAAATATAATGTTATTCAGCTCTGGGCTTCCTGACCCATATGTCCACACCCCGATTCGGAAGACACACCGCGAAGCGCTCGCAGCTCCACTGATCTCTCTGAGCTTGCTATAGCGTACAACGTTGACTGCTGACAGCGATGTACACAGAGTCCAGCCCGCACGCTGTCCTCAAACGCTTTCCATGCTTCTGTTGCCCGGCAGTTAGACGAGGATTTCCAAACGCACACACTCGTATCGCTAGTAGAAGACCCAGAAGTACAAAGCAAGCCTCTTCAATGAGAGCAATAGGAGCAAACGACTTCACAGCAGTGCCATGAGGTTAGAATGTCTTGTCTTGCTAAGAAAGGCCCAGCAGCTGCTATTGAGACAGAAGTATCATAATTAAAATTGTGTTACATGTGTATATCTCCACATAGTAAGGCTTATTGGACCGTTATGGGTGTACTGCAACCGCCCAGCTGCCTGTGCCGCGGTCCCGCGCACCATGCTGTCCCTTTCACCCCTTAAGCCTCCTTCACGGGGCGCGGCCATTTTCCGACCCGAAACATGCGAAGATCCTCATGTTGTGATGCTCGCCAAGCGCCCAACACCTTAGCAGGTTGCATTCTTCCCACTGGCGTGCTGCTGAGCCCAAACCACAACCCACTCAGCGCATGTCACGACCCTCCATCACAGATTGGCATCTCAGCTATGATCCCTTGACCTCAAGCTTCGACGGTCGAGGCCTCTAGATATCTGAGACGCGCAGAAACTTGAAGGCTCAGTTACTCGGCTGTGACTTACACGTGCCGCTTCAATACCAGAAAGTCAGATGGACCTGAGACAGCGATTGCTTCATCAGTCCTTCAACACCCCTCCACGTGGAGGAGTGGCCAGTCGCCTGAACCGGTGTTTAGCTAGCCAGCAGGAGTAACTGCCCACAATGCATGAAGTTACACCTGGAGGATCGTACATGATGGCTGTAGCGGTCCAGTCGTCAGCCGGGTTGCACATAAGCGGTCACAGGGGCATGCAGGGATGGGCGCGAGGGAATAGGGTTCTGATGGAGCGTGCGGTGCTGCAAACATGGACAATTTGTGGCCATGGGCTGAGCGGGTGCGCAAAAGTATCGGCACGTGGATTGCCATTGCATTCGCCACTAGATCTTCCGGAGGTCAGCGCAGGGTGTCGGCTAACCGTAAGGCGTGTGGTACCTTGAGGCAGGGCCGAGAAAGGAGCAGGCTGTATGGCACACGTCGACCGAAAGCAACAACCTCGAACTATGTGCCCGGCGACACATACAACTTGTACGTTTTAGCCTCTTTAGCATGGTGTTTCTCTACTGTGAGAATATCCATTTTGTCGTTTCGCGTTCATGGCGGCTAACTACCTTCCAACTAACCACGGAAGCTTATACACACAAGCGCATTGCTTAGAGCACATCCGCGCGTTCGTGAGCTTCATTTTATAGAAGAAAGCCCCAGTCCCTTTTGTCCACTGTAGATCCTTCGGGACATACAGTTACCGCGATGACTGCGCCTAAAGAGGGGCTTTTGGACATTGCCACAAGCAACCTGCCTCTGCTATTACCAGCACTAGGGCAAGTTCTGATATGCTAATGCACGTGGCGTTGAACTTTGGTATTTGAAAAGCTCTCTTTCCCATTTGCCTGGTCTTTCAGGTATACATTGGCCTGGCTAGCGGTGCGTTTCGTCTTCTATGCTATCCTTCGCGCATGCTGGAGATCTAAAGCAACTGGAAAGGAGCCCAAGGATGTCGGGTGAGCGAACTGTTTCCATGACCGTCTCGTTCGACATGCTATGCAAACTGCGGAGCCTCTGTAAAACCTACTGCAGGTTACAAGAGAAAATAATGGAAGAGTCTTACGACATCATCGGTAGCCTGGTGAGATTCTGCGTTGTCCATTGGTGTCGGGGCCTCAACGCACGACTGTCATCTGCCTGGACCCTGACCCCTTGCTCACCGTCCGTGCAACCAGAGCCTCGTATATACCTGGAGGTTATGGGAGATGCGCCTGGGGAAGGGCGCTGGCTTATTGGGCTGAACTGCACCACCCGCATGTGCCATGCTGCTGGCTGTTGTAAAATGCGCAGGTGGCTTTCGCGCTAGGACTAGAAGCCCTCAAGTACAGGTATGATATGGGTTGCCTTACTAGCGAGTTAGATAGATAAAGGACAAGTTAACCGCAGTGAGGCACTTCTGGCCTTCGGACATTCGGCGTCCATTGCCCGCCTGGATGCCCGCGCACCTCCCAATGTCCTTTGACATCCTGCAACCACATGGGCTGCCAACACCATTACCAATACCAGCTTGGACGTTTTCCTTTTACCTTCCCCGCAGCGACCAGGGCGGCTGCGGACTGCTTTCCACGCGCGACTGCTTCTCTGGTTGGCCCTCCGCCGGCGCCCTCCGCGCCCCCGCTGTCACGCTCTATCACACCGTGGAACTGGGCTGGTACCTGCACTACCTGGCAAAGCACCGTCTGGGTGAGAAAGCGCTGAGGAGGAAGAGGTCTTCTTACCAGCTTTGTCTTCACACACCTCTCCTGCCCCCCTCCTATTCCTATTCCTATTCCTCCCATTGCTTTGCCCTACTGGTACTAACCTGTGGCTTTGGTCTTCCCCTAACCCCTCCTCCCGCCCAGCTCCTGGCCCTTACACGCACGGCTCTGTTAGTGTTACTACACCTCCTCTCTCGTACCACGTGTTCCCTGTAACGTTCCGCCTTCCGTTCTGTCTAACATTCCGCCCTCCCGCCTGCCCTGGCCTGCCTGCCTGCCTGCATGTGCCTGATCAGGCATGGGCATGCAGGACAACCTGGCCATGCACCTGCACCACGGCTCCACCCTCACCCTCTTGTTCATCAGCTTCACGTTTAACCTGCACCGCATAGGTGGGTGGCGAGGGTGGGCGGGATAGAAAGTAATGAGACACTGTCGGGTGGGCGGGATGGCGGGGGGGGGGTTGTTACAGGGTGTAACAACTACAGGGGGCAGGGGCGGGGTCGGGGTGGGGGCCGGGGTGGGGGGGGGGGGATCCCATTGAGCCGCGGGTGGGGGGCGCTGTGTTAGGCCGAGCGTAAGGGCGGGCCCGGGGCGAGGAATGCGAAAGAGTGACGTGAAAGATGAAATGCCCCTGGATGAAGAAACAGCGAGGGAGGGCGCATGAAGATCACAGCTAACCGCTCACGCAACCTCCCCCGCCTGCCCCTCGCCCTCCGGTCTCCCTCTTCGGGCCCGCCTGCTGCTCACCGCCGCCTTCCTCCGTTCCTCCGCCTCCATCCTTCCCCCCTGCCCCCCTGCTCCCCTGCCTCCATCCTTCCACCCTGCCCCCCTGCCTCCATCCTGCCCCGCTGGCCCCCTGTTCCCCCCTGTCCCCCTGCCCCCTGCTCCAGGCGTGCTGGTGCTGTTCGTGCTCAACCTCTCCAACCCCTTCCTCCATGTGGCCAAAGTTGCCCACTACACGGGCGCGTGAGTGGGGGGGCTGGGCTGGGCGGGTCTGGGCGGGGCAGCTCAGGAAACAGGATGGTGGCTCAGAGGAGTTGCGAGGCAGGGGAAGTGGTGGTTCAACACGCCCCACACCCCCACACCCCAACCCCACACCCATCCACACCCCCACCCCCACACCCACCCACACCCATCCACACCCCCACACCCACCCACCCCAGGCGCTCTGACAAGCTCACCTTCCTGCTGTTCGCGGTCACCTTCTTCGTGTCTCGCATCCTGGTCTTCCCCGCGGTGGTGCTCAAGGCGTGAGTAGCAGGAGTACTGGCTTTGGAGGGAAGGGGGGGTCAAAGACCATATCAAACCATAGGAGACCACAAGTTAGGGCAAAACAATGGGGGTAGGAGTTGGGAAGGGGGGGGTGCTACGAGGGCGGTTGCATGGGCGGACTGCTGCATGCGTAGGGGGGGGGGGGGCTGTGCTGCTGCTTGGACTGCTGACCCAGCGGCTCGACAGCAGTGCGTGCGCGCATGTTTCTCCCCATATGCCATCATCATCACCCGCACACGCAGCCCCATGCGACCCTTGCTTCCATCCTGCTGTGTGCTTGCTTCCATCTTTTTTTGCCGCCCATCTCACTAGCTACGGTACCTAAGAACTGAACTCTACACTACTCGGTACTATCGCCCCGCGCGCAGTTCCCTGCTAGACAGCGTTCGCGCTAACCCCGCCTTCCTGGCTGCGGACCAGCACCTGCCCGTGTACGCGATTGCCAACCTGCTGCTGCTGGCGCTGATGGTCATGCAAGTGCAGTGGTTTCGGGGCATCGTCAGGTGGGTTCGGGGGAAATAGTGGTACGGACCATGCATCCGTTAGCAGGAAGTGTGCTGAATCAATTGCTGGCCACCGCACAAGACATGTGGTGTGTATGCGCATGCATGGCGGGGTTCTTAGACACAGTGCAGGGGGCTCATGTATGGCATCCTCAGCATGAAACAGGGTTACCCGCGTCGTAATGGGCCGTAAGTACTGTTACAGAAGAACTAGTAGCTAGGAAATTACAAAGTGTCGTCAGTCCGGGCGAATGTTTGCATTCGGAGAGGGATTTTCTTGGAACCGTTTGTAGTGAAGGGTGCATGTGCACAGATACGACGTGCGTCCGAATGCGGTGACCAAGCGTGAAGGGGCTCGGAGAGGGGCAGCGGGGCTGTATGGTTGCAGGGAGCAGGAGTCATGACTGCAAAGGCTGCTGTTACCTGCTGCGCGCATGCATGCATGGTGTATTTGGTTTGGCATCTGTGTATTGGAAAATGCTTACCGCCGGTTCGCCGGAACAACGGAATGGTTGATCCGCCTGACAAGCAGTTTAGTTGCGGCTGCTGGACAAGTACGACATTTGCATGTACGACTGCTGCTGCTCCTCTATCTGATGGTCACAAAAGTGTGTATGTTTGTGTGGCGTACACTCCTCTCCGTACCTGCACCCACCCCTACGCACGTACCTGGCTGCCCCACACGCAGGTTGCTGGCGAAGGCGCTGGGTGGCTCGCAGGACGAGTTTACACAGGAGAGCCAAGCGCACGATTACGCGAAGACCAAGGATGAGTAGATTGTCACCCCCGCCTGTTATTTTCGCTGACTGCCTGGTATTTTCGCAGCTGCTGGGAGGGTATTTATTACCTCTTGGGGGTTTCTCGATGGCTGTGTTTGTGTAGCATTGTAGTGGCGCCGGCGGCTTAGCATGGTGTAGCATAATGGCATCTATATCCGCAATTTAAAATAACGGTCTTCGCAGGGGTCTCTTGCTTGGCAGCTGCTGTGTCTTTTGTGGAACTATAGGTAGCGAGCAGGATTCCGCCTGTTAGATCCGCTATGTCACGTCGTAATTAGTTAATGGTTAATTACCGGCATCTAGACGTGCCATTAAGCCTGATAGTGGATGCTGTAAGCGGATTAACCATACATTATTGTCCTACGAAAACTCCTGGACACATGCATGCATGGGTGGCGCCTCGAGATGCAGGATTCATTAGCTGATTAGCTCATGACTGGCGAAAGTCGATGAATGGAAACAGTTGTAGTCGACGGCCCAAACCATGGTTCATTGCCCACGTGCGTGTCTGGTGAATCCGTGAATGGCCGCCCTTGAGCAACAGCTAAATGCCATTGTCGAACGAAGAATGACCGGCTTGATATGCTGAGGGCCCATTTCTTTCTGCACACTTCGTGTCCGTCCGAAATACGCATGTCTTCTCCTGGCACCATATTCGACACAATTCCAGGTGGGCGCAACAAAGCTTGGGTACTTGAGCAGGCGCTTGACCTATTTTGACATCAAGGGATCTGGTCCTGTGGTCTAGCGGTTAGGACAGCAGACTTTGAATCTGCTAACCTGAGTTCGAATCTCAGCAGGACCTGCGCAACTTTTGCATTTTTTGCCCCCGAAGCCTCGTGGGGACATCACTTTGCGAAACTGCGAATTAGGTCGTTTAGTTGTAACATGGTGATTATGAATGGGTAGAGGATAGATGAGTCATGGCACATGTGACAGGAGTGTGCATGTGTGACACTTGTGACAGGAGTGCGCATTGGTGGCATCGCATGGAAGTAGGTTGGCTCGCCCCTTTATGGGGGCGTAGTAGTCTTTATTTGCGTTTGGTCTGAATTGCGTTTGTCACGTTCGTTTTTCGTATCGTTTCATGCGTATTGAAAAAGGGGTTCTAAGACAATTTGCAAACAACCCTCATGTTGCGCATCTACCATATCAAATACCTCCAATTCACCTCAAGCAATCCACATGCATTACCTTCATCACCCCAGCCCTTCCTTGCAAAGTGAGCAAGTCGCGCCCATCAGGAACTCGTGTCTGTGAAGCTGACGGGTTTATGTGGCATTGTGATGACTAATTTGGTAAAAGACGACAATTTCATGGCTGGAAGTATTGAGCGTGCATGCACGGAGTGCATATGGTGGATTCATGCGCAAGCTTTTGCGGCCCCAGATTCCAGACAGCCAAACAGACTAGGTTACCCTGGGGTAACAAGGCTGGGTTAGGTACCTCGGTTACCGAGGTTCGTCATGCCCCTGTAACCCCCCTTGAGGAAATGAAACCTCAGCGAAGACTTGACGAGGGGGTAACGAGGGAGGGTCAGTTACCCCTCGGTAGTGAAATTGGTGATGTAGGGGGGGGGGGCGCGCGGTAACAGCGGAATGTTGTATCGATGACCTTAGAAAGACGACAGGACCACGAACAGGGTGTTATTAGCCTCCCACTGTGTTGGAGATATGGCTGCGATTTCCCTCGTTACTCATTTATTGTCAACCAGTCGCAGTATCATTGTGCCCGGAACCTGCACAGCCTAACTTGGCTGGGGAGGGGAACTGCCCAATGAATTAGGTGGAAGGAGACCGCATTTAATTTCATAGCATTGCCAGTACTGTGTTGCTTGCCATACATTATGTTTCATTACTGTGTTGTCAAAACATGCTTTCCAAAATTGCCAGTTATGTATTTTATTTATTAATGTCATTGTTTCTTAAGTCTAGATTATGCGGTGTAATGTTTTCTCGCATGCTGAAACAATACATGAATCATGCAAGTGCAGGGTGGCAAGCGGCAAGTGGTAACATCGCTGTTGCGTGTGCTTAATAATCGAGTATGTACATGTTTGCGCCCAATACGCACATACACATGCATGGGCAGGTACACATGGTATGGCTCCCACATGTTTTGCATACACAAACATACATAATGTGCGTGTGTTAAGAAAACTGGCCGCGAGTATAATGTGCGTGTGTATATGTTTGGTTTTGTTATTATAGCTTTGCAAGCCGATGTTTTCACTGCCATGTGTGAGGTGTTGAGTTCTATTGCTGCATCCTGTGTTTTCCCTTATTTGCGTGTTTGATGATCGTCTCAGGGGTCGTCTACACATGACGGATATCCAATATAAGTGGGAAAGGGGGTAGAAAGCGATACCATACATACCTCCCAGTGATCATCGCGCAAAAAATAATTATTATTTGGAAAAATGTGTATTAACGCGCAAAAAAGTAATTGGTCCGGGGCCTGCGCGTTAATAAAAATAATTCCCCAAAGGACTGCGCGTTCACTAAAATATCGCCCATGCCGTGGCCAGTGCGTGCTGACTCGAAATTCCGGGTTTCGCTCTTTTCCTGGCCCCATCCATACTTACACCTCCTCTCTGATCCGTTTTAAGCCGCAGCTTTAAGTTCATTGCTCTGCTTTTCCGGTCTTTCTAGTATAAGCTTCAGGCTACTGCAGTACTACTTTAAAGGCTGCGCGAAGTGGAAAATAATTGCTCAGACCCCTGCGCGTTACAGAAAATTAAGTCCTTACAGCGCTGCGCGTTAAAATAAATAATTCCTAAATTTCCTGCTGCGCGGTATAAAATTTCGCCACGACGTTCACAATGGATGTTGGAAGGAAATGCAATAGGCAGCCTGCATCTGCCTACCTGTCGCCATGCGTGAGTGCAAACCTCATCTTAGAAGGACGGAATCTTTCTGACAGCGTCCCCGTTATCAACTATAATTGCTCCAGGCTGGCAGCAGTTATAGTACACGTGCAAGCACCGTTAGATAGGTGCGTCTAAATGGAACGGCTACTTAACTTGGATGACCATGCATCTATCTGAGTGATTGCTGCCCATGATGAGCGGCTTGAAATGCTGAGGGCCCATTTCTTTCTGCCCACTTGATGTCCGTCCGAAACACGCATGTTTTCCGAGCTCCTGGCACCATAATCCAGGTGGGCGCAATAAGGTTGGGGTATTATAAAAGTGCTTGACCAATTCTTGACATCAAGGGATCTGGTCCTGTGGTCTAGCGGTTAGGACAGCAGACTTTGAATCGCTAACCTGAGTTCGAATCTCAGCAGGACCTGCGCAACTTTTGCATTTTTAGCCCCCATAGCCTCGCTGTGACGTTCGCATCTGCTAATCGACGGCGGCAACAGGGTGCAGCCAAAGTCTGCCACCCGGAGAGGACGCAGGCATGCCAACTGAATAAATTTATAAAAGCATCAGTTGCAAGACCCTTGGCAGGTAAGGAAGTAAGGAACGCAGAACGAAACAGTCAGGCCCCAACATTCAAAAGCGTAAAATTCGTGACGAGAGCATTTCGCCCAGCGCTGTATTCTAGCTATCTTATTTGTTTTCGGAAATGTACGAGTAATAAAGTCATGCTGAAATTGGGTTCTACGACAGGTCGGGTGGGTGGCGTCTACCTGGGAGCCCAAGCACCGGCAGGCCATTTTGTTTCCTCAGGTGCTGGGTCGGCGTGCGTGGGCTAGGTCGGCGGGGGCTATGTCGGCGCGGGCTAGGTCGGCGTGTGCTAGGTCGGCGCGTACTAGGTCGGCGGGGGCTAGGTCGGCGGGGGCTAGGTCGGCGCAGGCTAGGTCGGCGCAGGCTAGGTCGGCGGGGGCTAGGTCGGCGGGGGCTAGGTGGGTGTGGTTCTAGGTATGCGCGTGCTAGGTGGATGGGTGCTAGGTCGGCGGGTGCTAGGTCGGCGCGTGCTAGGTCGGCGCGTACTAGGTCGGCGGGTGCTAGGTCGGCGGGTGCTAGGTCGGCGGGTGCTAGGTCGACGGGGGCTAGGTCGGCGGGTGCTAGGTCGGCGGGTGCTAGGTCGGCGGCGGTTAGGTCGGCGGGAGATAGGTCGGCGGGTGCTAGGTCGGCGGGGGCTAGGTCGGCGGGTGCTAGGTCGGCGGGGGCTAGGTCGGCGCGGGCTAGGTCGGCGGGGGCTAGGTCGGCGGGGGCTAGGTCGGCGGGTTCAAGGTCGGCGGGGGCTAGGTCGGCGCGTGCTAGGTCGGCGCGTGCTAGGTCGGCGGGTGCTTGGTCGGCGGGGGCTAGGTCGGCGGGTGCTAGGTCGGCGGGTGCTAGGTCGGCGCAGGCTAGGTCAGCGGGTTCAAGGTCGGCGGGGGCTAGGTTAGCGCGGGCTAGGTCGGCGCGGGCTAGGTCGGCGCGGGCTAGGTCGGCGCAGGCTAGGTCGGCGGGTTCAAGGTCGGCGGGTGCTAGGTCGGCGCTTGCTAGGTCGGCGCGTACTAGGTCGGCGGGTGCTAGGTCGGCGGGTGCTAGGTCGGCGGCGGCTAGGTCGGCGGGGGCTAGGTCGGCGGCGGTTAGGTCGGCGGGAGATAAGTCGGCGGGGGCTAGGTCGGCGGGGGCAAGGTCGGCGGGGGCTAGGTCGGCGGGGGCTAGGTCGGCGGCGGCTTGGTCGGCGGGGGCTAGGTAGGTCGGCTGGAGATAGGTCGGCGGGAGCTAGGTATGCACGTGCATGGTGGGCGGGGGCTAGGTCGGCGGGGGCTAGGTCGGCGCGGGCTAGGTCGGCGCGTGCTAGGTCGGCGGGCGCGAGGTCGGCGGGTGCTAGGTCGGCGAGGGCGAGGTCGGCGCGGGCTAGGTCGGCGGGGGCTAGGTCGGCGGGTTCAAGGTCGGCGGGGGCTAGGTCAGCGCGAGCTAGGTCGGCGCTTGCTAGGTCGGCGGGTGCTAGGTCGGCGGGTGCTAGGTCGGCGGGTTCAAGGTCGGCGGGTGCTAGGTCGGCGCTTGCTAGGTCGGCGCGTACTAGGTCGGCGGGTGCTAGGTCGGCGGGTGCTAGGTCGGCGCAGGCTAGGTCGGCGGGGCCTAGGTCGGTGTGGTTCTAGGTATGCGCGTGCTAGGTGGGTGGGTGCTAGGTCGGCGGGTGCTAGGTCGGCGCGTGCTAGGTCGGCGCGTACTAGGTCGCCGGGTGCTAGGTCGGCGGGGGCTAGGTCGGCGGGGGCTAGGTCGACGGGGGCTAGATCGGCGGGTGCTAGGTCGGCGGGTGCTAGGTCGGCGCGTGCTAGGTCGGCGCGTGCTAGGTCGGCGGGTGCTAGGTCGGCGGGTGCTAGGTCGGCGGGTGCTAGGTCGGCGCAGGCTAGGTCGGCGCAGGCTTGGTCGGCGGGGGCTAGGTCGGCGGGTGCTAGGTCGGTGTGGTGCTAGGTATGCGCGTGCTAGGTGGGTGGGTGCTAGGTCGGCGGGTGCTAGGTCGGCGCGTGCTATGTCGGCGCGTACTAGGTCGGCGGGTGCTAGGTCGGCGGGTGCTAGGTCGGCGGGGGCTAGGTCGGCGCAGGCTAGGTCGGCGGGGCCTAGGTCGGTGTGGTTCTAGGTATGCGCGTGCTAGGTGGGTGGGTGCTAGGTCGGCGGGTGCTAGGTCGGCGCGTGCTAGGTCGGCGGGGGCTAGGTCGGCGCAGGCTAGGTCGGCGGGTGCAAGGTCGGCGGGGGCTAGGTCGGTGTGGTGCTAGGTATGCGCGTGCTAGGTGGGTGGGTGCTAGGTCGGCGCAGGCTAGGTCGGCGGGTTCTAGGTCGGCG